GGGGGGGGGGGGGTTTATTGCCTGCGCCGCCGTTACAAAGGATGCCCGTATGCTTCTGCCAGGACCTCCCCTAGCTGCCTCCGCGTGTAGCCCCGGCTGGTACGCCAACCACGCTCAAGACTGGTGCCGAGAACACGCGGGGCAAGAGCACCCACACGCAAGCGCTTCAGCCTCCCCCCATGACACCCCCTCACGAGGTCGTCCCAAACCAAAGCATTTTCTGTTTTTAGCGGCACTGAGACTGACGCCTTCTCATTGGCCGGCCGGTTAGCGCGGGTCGATGCTTTTATCGAAGACACACGCACTGCTTGCTGTTGGGAAATGTCCGGTGGCAGGGTGGCAAGTAGCCGCAGACCGGAGGGAGCTTGTGTAGTCTACAGAACGCCTCGGCCGCATCGGCTCTCGCCCTTGATTATTACAACCCATACAGGGACGAGAACGCACGAGCATAAGCACGGTGAGTTCGGACGACAGTAGTCGACCACAGACAACCAGACTAGACTCGACTTGAGGCAAACAGGACGAGAATCGACCAAATAAGACCAAGACGGGCGGTTGCCTGAAAACCCTCGCTATGTTCGTGCCGCAGACCCACACTACACCCCTCCTCTCTCGCTCCGCAAAATGAATGAGAGCCTTGACGCTACAGGGTGGTAGAATCATGCTCCGGTCTGCCCCCACCCCCCTCCTCCGTCCTCGCGAGACGTGTGGTCAATGGACTAACAACTAAGGAATGAAAAACGCGAGTATCCCCCCATCCAACCATAAAAAAAAAAAGAAGCAAGAGACATGCCTGCACGCTCTCTCGGCCAAGCCACCCTCAAGAGCAACGCTGGCCCCCCGGCGTTGGTGTTATGGAACGCGCTGTATCATACGGCTGCCCCCCCAGGATGCAGCGCACCTTCCATGCGACTCGCCGAGTATCTCAGGGTGCTTCGCGCTTTGAGCCTTGTCTGGCGAGAACCTGCGTGGTATCCACGTCCCGGCCTTGTAGGGATACGAAGTCGATGGCCTGGCGACTCCAGCACGCACGCTAATGAGTACCCCCCCCCCCCCAAAAAAAAAAATGAAAAACATCTCAGAGCAAGGCTACCCTGCGCGACGATGGCACGTAATGCGTTATCATACGACCCCCTCCCCCTCAACCAAGGAAATACAGCAAGCAGACACTTGCCTGCTCGCTCTGGCCCGCGGCCCCCAGGGCAGAGATGGCCGTGTTGTAGCTGATGGCGTCGGGAGACAGCCCGGCCTTGGACATGCCGCGAAGGATGGAGAGGGCGTGCTGCCACTGTCCGGCCTCCCCGCAAGCCTTGATGGCGGCGTTGCAGCTAATCACGTTCGGGCGTACCCCGACGTTGGGCATGTCGCTCAAGATTGCCTGATGGTGAGACGGGGCGGGAGGTTTAGAGCAGAGGCCGGGGGGGGG